CACATCCTCCAAAGCCAACTCATAGGGCCCCTCGCTGTCGGAGTCTGGTGGCAGCTCCAATGGCTCCTGCTGGGCCACAACACATTCCTAACATCATTGACTTCTCCTATGAATGTGGATGCAGGACAGTGTGTGTACAGGTCCACTATTATGACTAGGTAGTGTGGTCTAAATTAATAAGATAAAAATATAAATCCATATTTTTCATACTGGAAATTAAAAAAAAATCAAGTAATGCTTGCTAAAGATGTTCAAACCAACACTGGCAGAAGGAAAAGGAAAAAAAAATGAGATTAAAGGCTATTATGTCTTTGCAGAGGACTGATAAAGTTGGTTTCCAGTACTGCGCCAACAGATTTGGGATGATTCCCGCCTCTCTTTTAAATCATTCACTTTTCTTGGGAAAAGGCATTCCTGGAAGTTGCAGTAGAAAAGAGAAAGTCTAGAATTTTCCCAGGGTGAATGGAAAACTGTTAAGATAGCATTGGGGGTGGGAATACTCCCACTCTGAGCTTTTTAGAGAAAGGCAAGCTATAGATAATGTAACATGGGAAAGAAAGAAGTAATTTCATGCATTGAGGGGGGGGGTCACTTAATTTTTCGTAGTGGTTATCTCTTCCACAAGAGCATTTAATATTTTGCACTGTCCTTTTTTTTTCTTTGACAGTGGATATTTTGACTGCACGTCAAAAAAAAGCTGAGGAATTAAAGAGACTAACGGATTTGGCAAGTCAGATGGCCGAGATTCAACTGGCTGAATTGCGAGCTGAAATTAAGGTCAGCTTTAAAAGGGTATTTTCTCTTTAAAATAAGCATAGCTGTATACAAGTAACGCCTCTCTATTTCAGCACTTAGAGCCACAGGTTCTCACCACAAGGCTCAATCAAAGTATAAATCTAGCTTTTTAACAATGTCATCTTACTTAAACCTGTGCTATTCCTCTAGTATTTTGCAGTTAAGAGTAATAACAGCTTTCAGATTCATATAAGCTTAGTAATATTCCTGCTTTTCTTTCCAGTTCTATTAAAGTTGCAGTGTTTTTTTTCCTTTTGAGCCTCATGCTTAATTCCCTTGTATAACTGAAGTTATTTTTTTTTCCAGTGATAAGCACTACCTCTATCAAATACGAGGAGAGGCTATTATCACTGTTTCTGAATCATATTTTACAATAGCATTTTACAAAATATAAAAAAATGTCCAAACTTTCTATGATTGGAATTTAAAAAGCTTTTGTTCAACACATTGATGCGATTTTCTAGTTATGTAATCATGTGAGGCTATTTATGTTACTTTTCCCTTCATTGTAGCACTTTGTAAGTGAACGTAAATATGATGAAGAATTGGGTAGAGCTGCCCGCTTTTCCTGTGACACTGAGCAGTTAAAAATGCAGATATTACAGTGTGGAGAAAGTAAGTTGTAGCAAAGTCTCAGCTTCTTCATTAATTGCTCTTTAAAACACTTGTTAGAACCATTTTCATAGCTAGTAAGATTCAAGATTCAAGATTTAATAAATTTGTATGCCGCCCTATCCCGAAGGACTCCAGGCGGCTTACATACAACAATTCCAAAAAATACTAAAAAAAATTAAAATAGAGAGAGAACAAATTAAAAGGCACATCATACACTCAACCTTAGCGGGGCTGGACCTCGTTCATGAGGTCAACAGCCCCAGGCCTGCAGGAACAGCCAGGTCTGAGTAGACATTCGGAAGGCCGAGAGAGTGGGGAGGGTCCGGATCTCTGGGGGTAGATCGTTCCATAGGGCCGGGGCAGCCACAGAGAAGGCCCTCCCCCGAGGAGCCGCCAGCCGACATTGTCTAGTCGACGGCACCCGGAGAAGGCCCACCCTGTGAGATCTTATCGGACGCTGGGAGGTATGTGGCAGAAGACGGTCTCGTAGATATCCGGGTCCTAGGCCATGTAGGGCTTTAAAGATGAAGAACAATGGA